AACAGATGTCCATGCCTGGGCCTATGGTCTTATTGAAGCCTGGGTCTGTGTTGATGTCCATGACCAGTGCTACCACTGAAGGCTATGTGGATGTCCATGGTCCATGCTGCAGCCTGAAGTCATACTGATGTCTGTGGGTCTGTGTCACCATTTGAGACCATGGTGATGTCTGGGCTCACACTGCTGCTGAAGGCCATAACCAGGTCTGTGGTCCTACTGCAGCTGGGGTTTTTGTTGATATCCATGGCCCCTGTTACCTCCAAAGGCCATGTGGATGTCCGTGGACTATAATGTAGCCTGAACCCATATTGAAGTCCATGGGCCATGTTGTTGCTGGGGTCCATACTGATCTGAGTGGCCTGTACTGCTATCTGAGGCCATGATGATACCCAGGCCTGTGATGCCACTGAGGGCCATGTCTAGGTCTGTGGTCCTGTTGTAGCCATGGTTTACATTAATATCCATGGTCCAGGCTGCCTCTGAGGGCATTGTCTGGGTCTGTGGTCCCACTGCAGCCAGGAGCTGTGTTTGAGATCTCAGCTGTCATTGAAACCAACTGGAGGCCCGTGATCTATGCTCCTGCTGACTGTGAAGAAGAGCAAGGAGGCTGCTTTCGCTGTGATATCAATGACATGGAAGGCTTCTGTGACAATCCCTACCCCTACCAACTCCTTTCCCCCAAAAGTAACAACCTAGATAGGAAGCCACCAAAGAGAACTCTTAAGAAGTGAGGTGGTGATGCTGAAGTGTGCCTCTGGTAGGAGTGCAGGAGGGGAAGGACTCAGCTCTATTTAAGGGGCAACCACTGAGAGTCTGGCCATGTTCCAGTGAGTATGTGGACAACACAAATTGGACTTTTCTTCTTTTTTTATTCTTATTTTTATTTTTACTTTTTTGGGGGGTGGGGGCAGGTCACAAGTGTGGGGGGATGGACATGGAAGGACTGAGAAGTATAATTGGTATGCATGATGTCAAATTCCCAGAGAATAAATAAAAATGTTATATAAACAAAACAAAACAAAGCTTCTTGATATTTAATACTATGGGAAGGAGGAAAATAAAATAAATTATAGTATATATCCCATTTAAAAAATAAACCTCAAGTAAGGCAGAAGTTGGTACCAGGGACTGGGATATTGCTGTCATAGGTCTAACCATGCTTTTGTTTGTAAGAATGTAGATTTTGGGATTTTGTATCAGAAAAGCTGTTGAATGCTTTAAGTGGGGCTTAATGGGCCATATCAGTAGGAGCATGGAAGACAGTGGTGCCAAGGGTGATTTGAACTGTGGGGGCCTGGCTCAAGAGGTTTCAGAGGAGAAGAATATTTGTATGTGGTCTAGAGACCATTCTTGTCATATTTTGGCCAGGAATGTGGCTGTTTTTTGCCCTTGTCTGAAAACCTGCCTGCAGCTAAATTGAAGAGTTGTGGCTTAATAGCTTTTGCAGAGGAAATCTCAAAACAGCCTAGTATTGACTGTCATGTAGTTATTAGTGTTCACTATTATGCAGATCTATAATGGAAAGGAGAAAATAATGAAAAGGAATGAAAAAGAGCAAGCTGAGCAAGGAAAAAAAATACAATCGTACATCTTGAGGAGAAAAGGGGCACCAGGGTAGCCAGAAGTTTCTCCGGTTCCACCCGGCCCCATGGTCCTGCAGCTGCTTATAAAATAATTACTCAGAGGCTTAATATTAATTACAAACTGTATGGCCTATGGCTCAGGCTTCTTGCTAGCTAGCTCATATAACCTAACTCAACCCATTACTGCTGTGGATATTGCTGTATATAAATAAAACACTGATGGCCAGTGACCAGACAGGAAGTATAGGTGGGACAAAGAGAGAGGAGAATTGGGAAAACAGGAAGAAGGAGGGAGAGACACTGCAGCCACCGCCAGGACAAGCAACATGTAAAGATGCCGGTAAGCCACCAGCCATGTGGCATGGTATAGATTTATAGAAATGGGTTAATTTAAGATATAAGAACAGTTAGCAAGAAGCCTGCCACGGCCATACAGTTTGTAAGTAATATAAGCATCTGAGTGATTTTTTTATATGTGGATTGTGGGACTGTGGGGCTTGGTGGAACCGGGAGAGAAGCCCTCCGGCTACACATTACTATTAATCTATGTATTGCCATGTGTTCCATGGCTTTACCTGTGTCCCATTACATGTTGCTCTTTTGATAGCAAGTTGGTATCTCCTCCCACTCTACCTTTCTTCTCTGTCTCTCTTGGATGTGCACCACCACTGCCTGGCATCCTGTCTTAGTGTTCAATCATACTGTCTAGGATAATGGACACTGCCCAGGTTCACAACTGGGATTCCCAGAGAATGGCATAAGTTTAGTCAGGTACTTATAAAGGTAAAACCCACAAGGCTGCATACTTCCTGTCTTTGTCCATTTGGGGGCAAGCATACATTCTGATGTATTTCCTGCTTACATACCTCCTGCCTATGCACCTCCTGTCCATGTGTGATCAAAACATGCCCTGTGCAGATGGAGCAACCAACCTTGTGTACAGATGTGAAAACACATGGTTTGTTATCTTAAATGAATAACAGCTCCTAGATTCCAGGAAGTTATTTGTCCTTGAGCAAGTGGGACTTACAGGGTAGAGGCATTTTTGTTTTGTAGATTGTGGCAGTTTGAATGTAATTAACCCCCATAAGCTTATAGGGAGTGACACTGTTGAGCGCTGTGGCTTTGTTGGAGTAGGTGTGGCCTTGTGGAGGAAGTGTGTCCCTGTGCAGGCGTGTTTTGAGGTCTCATATATGCTTAAGCCATCCCCAGTGTCTCAGTTCACTTTCTGATGCCTGTTGATCAAGAGGTAGGACTGTCAGCTCCAGCACCATGTCTGCTGTAATGCTGCCATGTTGCACCATAATGGCAATGGACTAAACCTCCGAACTGTAAGCCATCCCTTTAAATATTTTCCTTTATAAGAGTTGCTGTGGTCAATGGTGTCTTTTCACAGCAATGGAAACCCTAACTAAGACATAGATCTCTTAAGCACAATAATTTAAACTTAAAGCATAACTTTAGCCCTCACAATATCTGTAAGGAGAACCTCACATAGGGACTGCAACAAGCAGAGAGACAGAGAGAGAGGAGAGAGAGAGAGAGAGAGAGAGAGAGAGAGAGAGAGAGAGAGAGAGAGAGATATCTCATGTAGCTAAAGGGCTGAGCTGTCTAAGCCCTTTGGCGTCAGACATGGATCTACAGGTTTTGGGGTTTGCCCTGCTGGTTTTCAGTTTTGCTTGGTCCAGTGATTCCTAACTGTGCTCCTCATTCTCTCTTTTGGAAAGGTAGCATACAGTCTGTGCCACTGTGTGTTGGGATTACGTGATCTGCCTTTTGATTTTTACAGTTATAGTTAACTTATAGTTAAGAGATTGTCTTGAGTCTCAGAAGAGACATTGAACTCTAAAATGGTGTCAAGACAGTGAAAGACTATGCAGACTTTTGAAGTTGGGTTAAGCATTTTTTTCCATTATGATATGGCTAAAAGCCTACTGGGACCAGGAAGTGGAATTTGGTGGTTTGAAAGAGAATGGACCCCATAGGCTCAAATTTTTGAAAAGGAATAGGAGATGTAGCCTTGTTTGAAGAGGTGTGTCACTGGGGCTGGGCTTTGAGGCTTCAAAAGACTGGATTCAATCCTGGTGTGTCTCTCTCTGCCTTGTACTTTTGGATTAAGATGTGTGCTCTCAGCTGTTCATGCCATCAGACCTTTGCATTGTCATCATGGACTCTGACCTCTGAAACCATAAGCCCAATTAAATGTTTTCTTTTTATAAGTTTCCTTGGTCATAATGTTTTATCACAGTAATAGAAAAGTAACAAGACAACACCCTACTCCATGGATATTTCTCTGCAATATTCATAGCAACCTCTTTCATAATAGCCATGAAGTGGAAACAACATAAATGTCCTTCAATAAATGAATGGATAATGAAAATGGGATACATATACACAATGGGATACTATTCAGCTGTACGGAAAAATGAAATTTGCAGGTGAGTGGATGGATCTTGAAAAGATTACATTGAATGAGAGAACCCAGACCTAGGAAGACAAACACTGCATGTTCTCTCTCATCTGTCATCCCTAGCTCCAAATCCGCAGATGTGAGTATACAACATGGAGTAACTATAGAAACCAGGAAAGTATAAAGGGATCATAGGTGGGGAGGGGCTTGGGAGGGAAATAGCAGGACAAGGTGATGTGAAGTGGGTAATGGAATAATGAGGAGGGGGCTCCAACTGTGGGAAGGAAGGAGGCCAATACAGAAGGAGGAAGATGGATGAGGGAACAAATAACACCAACATTGTTTGGTAAAGCCTTAAGGAATCATAGTATTTATGTTTATTTAAAATTATATACTATATATTACTTATTGATATATAGTATAAGAAGTTAAGCCACTTAGGCTGACAGGCTCCCTACAAGAACCATAGACCAATAAAATCCCCAGTACCATGCAGGAGAAAGGAAGAGTTCTTCAGGGTAGTCCAAATGACTCCCCAAACAATACAGATTATAGATGTAGCCCTGGTTGCCTCTCAGGGCTGGAGGGTTGCTCCTATCACAGTAGATGCTGGGCACTTAGGACACAGGAGTAGGATGATACAAGCTGGGTCTGATCTGAAAGCCTTTCCCTCTGTGGTCTAGTTTCCATGGTTCCAGAAAATACTATGCCGGCTGCCAAGGGAGGGAAGTAATTAACAGTCCTACTCAGCTGCAACACCTATGAACCATAACAATGACCAGAATGGCAAGGTGCAATAAGTGGTACTCACATGTCAGTGGTGACAGTCTTCTAACTGGCTGCAAGTCCCACACAATAGGAAAGAAATCACCCCTGGGACTAGAAATGTAGCCAGCCTCCAGGGGTCAGTGAGGTCGTGGACCTTAGAAAAGAAACTACCTATTGTCTCTTTGCTAGACCACCCTCATTCCTGACTACATTCTAAATCTTATGCTTACAACCCACAGGTGAATGCAGCTACCACACCTCCTCAAAGAAACCTGTCTGTACAGCAAATAAAGACAGTCACAGAAAACCACAACTGGAGATCCACAGATCCTGGGGGAGCCCAGCCTCGAGAGAAACATCTGTATCTTCTTCTGCATCTGCGGCTCAGGGCACTTCACAGAAGAGAGATGATGGAAAGATTGTTCGACCAGGATGTATGATATGAAGCAGTCTCACCCAGAAACGGCTGCATGAACAAGACCAGAACAACGGAGGTATCAATGGGATGTTAACACGGGACAGGGAATAGTTCACAGGGTCCCATTCCTACACAAAGAATGATAGGCAACTAATGACTGCTGGGAGGATAACAGCCTGTCACAGGGATGAGCCCCCTTATTGTCTGTCTGATGCAGAGAGGTCAGCTCTGAAACTATATACTCACCACTAACAAATACGGACTTGGCAGGCTGTATTGATATATATTTGAGCGCACACACATGTATGTCACACAATCAAAGAAAAAGAGGCTTTCGACTTGAGAGTGGAGTGGGACCTGGGAGAGGTTCAAGGGAGGGTCGTTGGGGTGGGGTTAGGAGGAGGAAAGGGAGGGACAAAGGGTTTTAATTCTATTTCAATTAAAAATACGTTTTTGAAAAGATGGAAAAATAACACTAAATGTATCCATTTCTATTTAAAAGCAGAGGTCCTGCCCCGCTCCCTTTCTCTCATGTGTGTGGGTGGAGCTGAAGATTGAGATATTCATCAGCTCGGTTATTCGGATCCTAAACACCACTTCAATTCCTTCTTAGCATTTCTTCCCTCAGCTGTGGACACATCATCTGAGAGTCCTAAGGTGTTTGGGATGGTTTACATCCAGGAAACAAGGGCCGGTTTTCCCTTTTCCTTTTGGCGTATCTCATTATTCTGTTTGTACATTACCATGAACTTGATGAAACGTTCATGTTCATTTCGGTTTGGGTTTTTTTTATTTTTGCACATACATCAAATCTCTCCAGGGACCATCTTTTGTTCCTTTTCTCCTGCTTTGCAAAGCTTTCCCAAAGCACTGGAGTTCTGAGGCTGGGGTGTTTACAATGTTCGGTGCCAGGTGTGTGTGCTGACTTGCTGGGAATGCAAAGCTCCACGACACTCATTGACGGGTGGAGCCGATGTGGTAGGGTGCAGCATCTACACTCCCATCTCCGTGTTTGTCTCCATCCACTTTATCTGAGGCTGAACTCCAGGAGAGCCATTCACACAAATGCCGCCGTCAACAACTCCAGGGCGCCCTTCTGAGTTTCCCTTCTACATACACCCAAATGGAATGCAATTAGGCTGTGTTGGAAGTGCAGGCATTCCTCATAATCAGCAGCCTCCCCTCCCCTCCCCATCATTAGGTTGATAAAATGTTTTCCAATTATGAACCTTAAATGGAACCTTTTGACTGCTTAGAAGCAAATTGCTATTTAGCTAAAAAACCCTTTTAGTAAGGATAGTAGTGGGTTTCATTTATGTATCTGCTCATCCTGGTTGTTTCATGGAGCATCCTTTATTAACAACGGCAGGCCATTAGCAGAATAATGCTGCCGATGCACCTCCCTTGCTTACACCGAGACAACAACCTGAATTCTCTCTGTGGTCTGTGGATGCTGTAATTCCTCGTTCTTGCTCAAAATATAGCTGCTGTCTGGTGTTCCCTATCCTTAGATCAATAAACTCAGTATTTGTTCCGATGAATCACTAATCCACCAGACAGCACCTCAGATGGCCATGGTCCATTGCCTTGTGACAGACTGTGCTTGGACTGTGACATTTTGCCTGCTGTGTCTCACAGCTTTGAGGCACGTAAACATCACAGAGCCAAACCAGAACACCACTTCCCTGTCAAAGCTGAGCAGAGGTTCAGAGCCATTACACACATGAGCTATACAACCAGGAAGAAGAAAGATTTTTAATATCTGTTCACATATCACCCCGTGAGCCTTCCTCAATTTCACAAGATAATGCCAACTGAACACCAGCAGTGTTATCCGAATCACTTAAGTTTCCCCAAGATAGAGAGGAAATAGGTCATCTTCTGTTTCTGACCCCAAGACTGTGGGCCAATCTTACACTGACATGGAGTGGAAGTTGATTTAATAAAATACCTTAAATTGTCTTGTCTTGGTAGTACATGGCTTTTGACCTTAGTTGGTCAAATCGTTATCCAGCCCAACTTAAGACAAATTCAGGCCTTTCGTACTCTAAGATAAAACATTTTGTACATCTCCACACAGCTTCTTTTTATCTTTCCTCTCTCTTAGTGTGGAATTTTCATAAACAATCTAGAACATATGTGAGAAATGCCAGAAGAATATATGTTAACTTTCTCTGCAAGCCCTGGAAGACAAATATGTTTCTTCTTACTCCTTATTAAAGAAATATTTTAAAATACAATGTTTTGTTTTCTTGCTAGATTTCTTGCTGTTACCCAAGAGAAAAAAAATTAAAATAGCCTGTAATTCTCTCTCTAAGGTAATCACTATGACATACTTGATGGCCATTGTCTTAGTTAGGGTTTCTATTGCTGTAATAAAATATTGTGACCAAAAGAAACTCGGGGAGGAAAGGGTTTATTTGACTTACACATCCTGGGTCCTAGTCCATTGAGGGAAGCCCAGGTACGCAGGAACCTGGAGGCAGGAACTGAAGCAGAGGTCATGGCAAAATGCTGCTTATTGGCTTGCTTTCCATGACTTGCTCAGTTTACTTTCCTGTACAACTCAGGACCACCTGCCCAGGGTTGGTACCCACAGAGGGCTAGCCCATCCTCCCATCAATCATTCATCAAGAAAATGCTTGACAGAATTGCCTACAGACCAGTCTTATAGAGGCATGTTTTCAATAGAGAGCTCCTCTTCCCAAATGACTCACTTGTCTCATTACCATAAAAGTAACCAACATGACCATCTAATCTCTTATAATCAGAGAAGATCATAAATGTTTTTTTTTAATAAACTTTGGAAGTCAAATTTAATGGTAAAGCAAAATCAATTATTTTCTACGAAACTGCCAAAGTTTGAGTAGTCAAACAATAAATTCAGTGTTGGAGAGATGGCTCAGGGGTTGAAAGCATATATTGTTCTTGCTGAGGACCCGAGTTTGGTTCCTAGCACCCATGTTAGGCAGAGCTGCTCAGAATTCCGACTTCAAGAGATCCAACCAGTGAAAGATACCCTTGGGATTTATGTGGTAGAAGTCAGCAACCCAGTATATAGAATCATTTTGGTCCTTTATATTAACATTATATTCTAAAGAACATTTCCACCATTGGTTTATAGAAAAAAAATAAAGACAAGGAATAGTATCCCTCTGGTCTTACTCCCAGTCATTAATTTGCTCTTTGAGCCACTATCTGGGTGAAGAGTGTGGCTACAGGGGAGGACACTAGCAGAAACAGCCCGTGTTTACACACACACATGACACTAGCAGAAATAGCCCATGTTTACACACACACACGACACTAGCAGAAACAGCCTGTGTTTACACACACACACAACTTAGAGAGGCCTATGGATCACTTTGAACTTAATTCATGCTGGATTATTCATATACACAATGAGCTTTCGTGACATGCAATTACATTCCCCTAGGGGACATGGATTTTTGCACGCAGCCAGCCACCCTGCATATAATCATTGATACACAAGTAGGATTTCACACACCTGGGGCTATAGGCACTGCCACATTTATTCAAAGAAATACAGTTTTACAGGTGTCAACATCAAAAGACACTTAAATCCTTACATAAGAGAACATCAAACAGGAGAGATCACTTTTTGTGCAAAGCAATTTTTCTTTACAAAACCTTTCTGGATGACTCGACTTCAAACCTTGCCATGCTCTGACAACGATTTCTGCTTAAACTATGTCTGTGCTTCCTCAAAGCCCTGGCACTGCATTTCAAACCAAACTGTTCTTCCATGGTGACTCCGTCTTAATGTCCTGCCTTATTACCTTATTATACAAATCAAGTACCTCACCCACTTCTTTGTTTCTTTCTCCCATTAACAAGGTTATTTTTAAATTTTACATTTTTTCTTTTTTATTATACAGTTACATAAGTCCATTATTGCAAGCATATAAATATACTTAGAGCATATCCCTGCATCTCACTGCCCTCCCTCTTCTTACCCCTTCTGTTTCCTATTTTAAACTTAATTTTTAATTAATGTATAAAAATGATAACTATAAGCATTAGCGGGGCATCATATTGTTGTTCGATATGTGTATACTTTCTGCAATCAGATTAAAGATATCTATATTATCAAAAAGTTACTTATGGCAAAAAAACCCTCACAAAAAATTTATCTTCTAATGTCTATAATAAACAATCCTATCTATAGCCATTAAACTGTGAAATATCATAGCAGAACTTCTCAATTCCTTATGGAAGTATAACTTGGTACCTATCCAATGACCAGCCATTTCATATCCTTCCTTGCTCTTCACCCTCCCCAGCCTCTGGTAACCACCATTCTAATCTGAGAGCAACTTTTAAAAATTCTATGTATGGGCCAGCCTAACGCCCCCTGTGATCACCTGACCTCGCTCCTTCCATGCCACCTTCAACCTCCTAGCCCAGCAGGAACTCAAACATCTTGGACCTAGGCAGGTGAAATTATTTGATTCTACCTTCTGTGCATGCTCCACATCCTCAGTTCTAGCCTGAGTCCCACATCCAGTGCCTCAGCTTCACCTGGTGAACTCCATTTGTGCTATCCCCAATCTCTAGGCATGAGCCAGGACTTAGATCCTGTGTGCCAGCCTAGGCCCCACTATGACCTTTGACTTCATCTTTCCCACTCTGAATCTAATCTCCAGACTCAGCCTGGCTCCATACATCTTGTGTTGACACCCTAGCTTGGTGAGTCTGCCTAATTCTATCCTCCATGTGCCCTATATTCAGATGTAGCCCAAGTCCCATATTGAGTATCTAGGCCTAGACTGGTGAGTCTTGCTCACATCTCCAACATCTAGGCTTGGGCCAGGATGCAAATCCTGAATGCCAGCACAGTCCTATGTTCATCTGACTTCATGCCATCCACACCATGCCCAACATCCAGGCTTAACCTAGTCTGCATATTCAGTGCTCCATCCAAACTTGCCATGTTCACATAAGATGCAGAACAAAAACAAGTATGCATACCCATGTCTCATTGCAAAAACACTAACACTATGAAAGATCAAGATGGCATGTGCTCCCAAACCTTCAAGTCATACAGAAGTGCTCCTCCATTAGAATTACCTAGATGAAACCTAAGATACAAAATTTAAAAGAATCACAAATTTCACCAAAGAATCCAAGGAGTTTAGAGAAGGAACAAAGAAGCAGCTCACTAACTTATACATGGAATAATTTCAATATCTGAAGAAAGAGATTGAGGTAGACACTCGGAAATGGAAAGACCTTCCCATGCTTTTGAATTGGTAGGATTAATACTGTGAAAATTATCATTATACCAAAGCCATTTAGAGAGTCAACAAAATCTCAAACAAAACCCCACAACATTTTTTTCATAGGAATCAAAAACAACATCATAAAATTTATATGGACCCACAAAAGACCTTGGATAGCTAAATGTAATCCTGTGAAAAGAAAGAAATACTGAAGGGATTACCATTCTAGGTTTCATGACATATGACAGAGCCATAGTAATAAAAATAAAAATAGTGTCCTAGCACAAAACCAGACATGTTGATCAATGGAACAAAACAAAAAACTCCTAAATGAGAACATGCAATTATAGCCACTTGCTATTTGACAAAGATGCTACAAACATACGCTGGAGACAAGAGACCATCTACAACAAATGATGCTGGGGGCACTGGATGTCCACATGCAGAAGAAAGAATTCAGACACATGTCCATCACCTAGCGTGGGATTGATTCCCAATGGTTTGAAATCCTGATGTGAAATGTTGAAAGTGCTAGAAGAAAATATAGGCAGCACTCTACATGATATAGGTGTAGAAACAGACTTTGTGAATAAGACTTCTGTTGTCCAGGAATTAAGACCAACAGTTGACAAGGGAGACTTCAAAAAACTAAAAGGCTTCTGTACAGTAAAGGAAACAATAAAGTGGAGAGAATCCACAGAGTGGGAGAGCATCTTTGCCAGCTATATATCTGACAGAGGATTAATATCCAGAATGTACAAATATATATCCAGAATATATAAGAAGTCAAAACACAGTCAAAAAACACCTTACCCAATTTTAAATGGGTTTTGTTTTTGAACAGCATGTTCTAAAAGGAGAAATAAAAATGGCTAGTTAATAGCACAAAATTAGCCATAATCCTTAGAGCCAAAGACTATTCAACAAAAACACCAGTACCAGGCATGAGAAACCTCATTTCAGAGGTTGGTCAGGGCAGTCCAAGAGACTCCCGATACAGGAAGTCATCAAAGATTTTGAAGAAGGTGCTGTCTAGGTGGGCTGAGGAGGCCCTTTAAAGGGGTTTTAAGGAGGCCGAGGATACCCACCCAAGGGCTCTTAAGGAGCGGTGGCTTTGGGTCCGGTACTGTGCCCTCCACTTCACCTCTCACCCGAGCACAGATCAACATTAAAATATAAACATTGCAAAATTTAAAAGCCCCACAGTTTTAAAAATTCCAAACACTTTAAAAATTCAGTCTCTTTAAAATATTGTCTCATTTAAAATCCAAAGTCTTTGTAAAAAAATTCCAAAAATCTCTTTAAAAGCTCAAACTCAACTGTGGGCTCTTGTAAAATAATAATAATAATAATAAAAAGTTAAATACATTCTTTCTTCAAGAGAGAAGAACCAGGACACAGTCACAACCTGAACAAAGCAAAACCAAAATTCAAAAGTGTAACCACTCCATGTCCAATGTCTGGGATTGACTCAACGATCGTCCGTGTCCTTCCTAGGAGCTTAGGTCACGTCGTCGCTGGCTCTCTCCTCTGCAGCACACACGGCTTGTCTTCTAGGTTCCAGCTGGTTTCACTCCATGGCTGCTGCTGGTTTGGTAGTCGTCCCAGGGTACTGGCATCTCCAAAACTGCGGGGTCTCCTGCTACAGCTGGCTGCATCAGCAGCTTTCACCGATAGTTTCTCCTGGGCTCTCTTCATGACGCCAAGCCTCAACTTCTCTGTATAACCTCTTTCTTTAATGCTGGGCTTTCAACCACTGCCGAGGCTGCATCTTCACCAATGGCCTCTCCTGGCCTCTCACAACTGCTGAGCCTCAGGTGCTCCTCATGACCCCTTTATACCTTCAAAACCAGCACCGCCTGGGTGACCTTTACGTTACCAAGTTGAGCTGCCAGCGTGAGGTACAATCTCTGCTGCCCCATGGAACACAGCTTCTGTTTGTTGACCCTGAGAAAATACCTCCCAGAAGATTTCACCTCAACAGGGCTGGTCTTTTCTTAATCACCACCAGAACCAGCATCAATTGTTCCAGAAAAACAACATTTTTACTTTAGTGGTTCTAGTCTCTTGTTAATCACAGCTGATTCTTCAGTCCCAGCTGACCAGAACCA